CTCAAGGTGCGGCCTTACTACTGCCTTGCGTAATCGTATGAGAACTTGGGGAGCTCTACATTCAATTGCCCTTCGTAGTTGATAGATAGCTCTATGCTTTGTTTGCTGCAATAACACACTGCGCAGATGACTTGTACAGCCTCCTCGGATCGGTTGCCGACTATCTTAGCGCCACTGGAAAATGGGTAACAGGGAGACTTTAGTCTGGCGGTCAAATTATTTGTAAAAATGATGAAGAGTAACGGCCTCAGGGCTGATCCTTGAAGTAATCCGCTGTAGGCTTCGGTCAGGGGACGTCTAAGTTCTTGCTGCTACCAGGGCCCTGTTAAGAGCCTGGAAGTCTGCCTAATCAAAGTCCCAGCTTAGTTGTTAACTTAGTAAGGGTTTTTGGATAAGTCTAACCCGGATGGTTTCCCCTCATGACTCCACTCTATAGGACATGCTCCTGCTAACAGCATCGCACTCTGTGCTCCCAGTTTGCTCCAGAATCCGCAATTCGTTTGTGTTCGGTTAAGTTCAACTTCTCCAGACCTCAGGCCAGGTGAGGTCAGCTGACCTGATCTAGTTTTTACAGGACGGTAAAGACTTTCGCCAACCGAGCGTCGAGATTATTGCTCCAAATTTCTTTCGAAGTCTTGAAGTATTACACGGGTGCGAGGGTAAGCTCAATGGTCCCAGATCTTCGTGGTTTCCAAGGTCTCTTCTGGCCCTGCGTCCCGGTTTTCAGGGTACGGTCAAGGCTCTACTGCAGCGGTCGTTGGATAATCAGGGTGAATCCGCGACCTTTTTGTACAAGGTTAACTGAAATGGGATAGCAATAGGGGAGCGATGCAGTATCTACATGCAGTGCAACACGTTGGAAAGTTCAGGAAAAAGTTACAGAACATGAATAACACCATGGGACGGTGAGATGTTTACTGTTCAAGGATTAGACCAAGATACAGGTCTAGATTCCTTTTGAAAGCGGATTTTGTGGGGGGGGGATTAACTACTTCTTGGGGGAGGCCACTCTGAAGGAGAATAACCCGGTGGGTGAAAGAGCACTGTCGGACTAGTGTACGGGCACGCGGTTTGAAGAGTTTCATGCTATGCTCACGAATATTATCCATACTAGTGCGCACAACGAAGTCATCAACCCTACCGGACTTGAATAGATTGTACAGTAGGAAGATGTTACCTCTTATCCGGCGGGTTTTAAGTGGGTACAGATTCAAGATGGAAAGGCGAGTAGGGTAAGGGATGCAGAACAAGCCATGCACAAGTTCTATGTCCCTCCGTTGTACACGATCCAGGGCCGTACAGTCGCTCGCCAAGCGGGAGTGAGCAATTTTACTCTGGTATTTCAATAACGGTTGAATGCACGTGCTATAGAGAATCTGAAATTTATGTCTATCTATTCTAGGAAATGAGCGTCTTATGAGGTGAAAAACACCGAAGGTGGATCCGCTAGCTTTTGTTGGTGGTAAGACAACGAAAGTGACCTGGTCAGCCAAAAACCAAGAACCTTGTGGTTTTCTGCACTCTCCATAGTCGCGGAAGCGTTAGCGCTATCTATAGGGACCCTCGTAAACGACATATTAACGCAGTTGGCGTCGTTTATTGGAAGGTTCCATACCGTAAACCAGTATTTGACTGCATCTATTGCTGATTGAACAGTCATAGGATCGGTGCCCCAAATCGTCATATAATCGGCGTACGTTGCGACATTGACTCCGATCCTGTGTAGCAGGTCATTAATATGTATGATGAAGAGGAGGGGACCAAGGACGAAACGTTGCTGGACTCTGGTAGAAATGGAGGAGTCAGATGAGAGCAATAAACCTACGCGGAGCTAGAAGGTGCGGTTCGTGGAAAAGTCGCGAATTAGCGCCAGGAGTCTGCCAGTGAGGCCGTATGATTTGAGTTTACGAAGTAAGGAAGTGCGTGGGACCCGATTAATGGCTTTTGCAGAGTCCATGAAAATCGCGTGGGAAATCAAGCCGTCATCATGGTCTTGAGTTAGACTGTCCATGACAAGGTGAGTCATATGTTCGGTTTTCGTGGTCGCCCGTGGTCTCTACGCCATTCTTGGCCTGTAATTCCTTTAGCAAAATGGTCTGATGATAGACTGCCGTAAGCGACATATTAGAGACCCGGTCACTTCCACAGTAGCCGTCGTCTCTCTGATATATTCAGAATCTCAGAATGGGCNGCCATGCTCGTCCTTATTCCGCGAGTTCATTAGCCTCGTCCGGCCTAGCACAGAGCTGCCGCCTATCACTACGGAAGTGGCACACAACATCGTTACTCGGACCTACCGGTCCACTCAGTACACCCCGAGAAGTTGCGCATCGCACACAGTTTCCGCACAGGCTGGGCATCGTGCGCCTCTCCGAAGTTCTGCGGGCTTCCCCTCTCTACACGGTTCCCAAAATATCCTCCAACGATTGGTGTCCATCACATGACAACCCCGGATAAGTACCCACTCCCTGACGTGAGACCAAGTCGGCAGAACTGTTTTTATCCGCACCTACCTGGTTCGCGCCTACAACCAGATACTGTTCGTAGAGGCCGACATCCCCAAGACGGAAGACTTCACATCGTTCGGTCTTTTCGAATTCCTCCATATGCCATTCAGCTCAAGCAGCGTTTTATTAACAACGTTTGTTGAGAGTTAAAATCTGTTTGCTTATTTAGACGATATTCAAGGGCTTAGTTTATCGCGTGCAGAGCATCTGGCACAACTCATTCACCGCATCCCAACCACAACTAAAGACCCAATTAGTGAAAAATGAAGGCGGTAATATACCCGAAGCCGACCACGTTTAAGCAGCTTCGGTGTTTCAACGGTTTAGTCAACTTTCCTCGTCAGGTCAGGTCACAGGTCTAGCGGCTGATGCCAAACGAGCGTCTAGTGTCTTGCGCAGTCGAGCTCCAATGTTTTCGATGCGCTTCGACAGCTTTTGGAATTCTCGACTCAATTAGCGGTATTTTCTTTAGTACGATCCAGTAGGGGCCACTTGAACGTTTATATGGAAAGAATTTGTATGATGAAATGGGTAGACCAGAACGACAGTCGGTCCCCCCCCCCGAGCCAAAACTGTCATTCAGGACTACTGATGGAATGTGCGACCACAGACGACTTCAAGAGACATGGTATGGACCCAACTATACCCAGAGGTAGTATATAAACAGGGTCTGAGGTTGTTTACGGTTGACAAGCGTCTTGTCTCCTAAGTAATCTATCCCACAGACATCGTACTGGAACCAAGTTGCTGCCGGAAGACAGTCAGTTCAACCCTTAGTGTGTGCGGCTGACGCAGTCATTCACTGACCTACCTAGGGGTAAAGCTAAGACTTTAGTGTTTACACAACCCGTTCGAGACGCCCGCAATGCGTTGAACCGACCAAAAAGCGACGTGGCGACATAACCAAACTACACGCTTTTGCCTTACTAGCGTTCGTCACAGATGCATCCGACCACTCAGTGAGCGTGAAGCTAACCGGTGTTGACGGCCTGCCGGTATGTCTTCTTACAAGTCTCAAACTGCGCGCGACCTCTTACTGTATCGTTGCCCGAAGTAGGCAAAAACACTCGTGGGAGTGGTACTAGGTAGTACCGAAACTTGCCGAGGTGACGCTGAACAATGCAAGCAACAAATGCAGTAGCAGAGCGATAGCGTGTCACACGTGTAGCGTGGATTTGAACAGGACCCAGCTTATATATGCACCTGAGCGGATAACCGTGCTCGGTAAAACAAACAGAAGTAAAACAAAGAAATATCACAGTTGGAGTCAGAGTTGATTGTGAAGAAAATATGAACGGAAAACGTCCTCGTTGGTTGCTCCGTTTCTTCGTACAACCATGGTTCAACAATAAGAGAGTCCAGAATTACAACTAGCATCTTTTCTGTGTAGGAAGCAAAAACCGGCCGAGTCATGATAAAGCGTCTTCGGCCGGTAGCCCCTTGTGATCTACGGCTGTATCCACCACTTCCATCGTCTCCTCTAAGGAAGGGGCTAGACGGTCTTTACTGATCGCCGTCCTGTCACTCGTCATCAATTCCAGAAACGATGGACACCCTGAGAGAGTTACGGCACTTTGGCTACACCACGCAATACACGCGCAACATTCGACATATCTCCGGTTTTAACAGTCCTCTTGCAGGTGTAGTGATCAACGAATTCCCATTCTACGTGTACCCTTCCTCTTGTGCACCTT